ATCAAGACACTTGACCATGGATGGCTAAATCACACCAAATCAGAATGGTAATAAAAGAAAACCGAAAGAGAGGCATGTTTATTCACTCTTTAGTAGTGGTCACCAACCCAGTTCTTCAAGTCCCCCCCTCCTGCATGTTTAGGATGTGTTTAAGTTTCAGCACTTATGATTCAAATGATTGCTACTCTTCTGCATGCTTTCAAGTGCCACAGTAGGCATTCATTTAGGTCAGGTTTGAACTGTTTTGTGTGTTGGCATAATGCACACAAATAAACTACACACATATAGATAGTCAAATAGATAAAATATGTGGTTATAGCTTTCCTAGGTTCCAAGTTTGTGGGATATTAGTACTTCACCTTAAGATTGGATAAAAAAAATCCTATTTCAGTTGCAACAAGAGATGTCCTGATTCAACCTTTTTGTTTACGATACGATAGAGATATTGAATTGACCGATACTGATATTATTAGCATGAATTACACATGCTTTTATTACTTATATTGTATTGTAGAATGTTAAAAAAGGCTTAATCAATGAAGTGATATATTAAAATAACAACTGAACCATGTAATATGAACCAATGAGTTACAGTTGCAGAGTCTTTCTAAAAGCATCTAAACATCAGAAGAATTTAAATACCACCCGATACAATCTGATATTAGTTTTTTGGCCAATATTGGACCAATGTTTTATATAAAAGCAGGTGCTGCTGAAACTGTTGGTGCCAGGGAAATTATCATCTCATTTGACTTTTTATTTCTCCATCAATCATGATAGTCAATCAAAGTTTAAGAGGAAGAACAGAGTTTCCATCGAGGTTAAATTAAATTGATTGGAGGGGGGTTCAGTATACAGCCAAATGAGGAAAGGTTATCTTCTTGGGGTGGGGGTTAGGTTAAGCACTACGGTGCAAATTAAGTTTATGTTAGGTTTAGAGTTAGGTATGTGTAGGTAATGGTTAGGAAAATAGTATGTCTTGTATGTCTGCTCTGGAAGTTTCTTCCTGTAAAAAGGGAGTTTTTCCTCTCCACTGTCGCTACAAGCATGCTTAGTGTGAGGAATTGCCTTAATTCAATGAGTCGATGCATCAACTGGTTTTTCTTAGGTAGAAAACTTTGAATCAATTTGACTGGATGATCTGTTTGAATTGTAAAGTGCCTTGAGATTACATGTGTTGTGAATTGGGCCTATATAAATAAACTGAATTCAGTTTAATTATGGATTAGATTATAGGAATGAATGTAAAAAAGAATGGAAATCAATGGAAAGTCGCCGTAAAGATAGCAGCCTAGAACATGGGTTTGTGTGTGGGTGTCCACATTTTCCCGGCTGGTCCGCGGCAGACTGGTGTCACAGTTATTACTCACCTTCAACAAACTCAGTTTGACAGATAAACACATCATTAGGAGACTGCCGAGACGCTCTTCAAGTTCAACTCCCTCAGGCACTCTCAGACAGGATCTATTTTGTTTGTTTTTGCTAACTCACTTACCCTTTTAAAAAAACAAGTCAACCATCTTAATAGACGAGAGTCATTTCACCCTCTTCTGTGAGCTCTGTGTGGATCTTAGACACATGCTTCAGTGAAAACAGTAAAACTTTGGATGTAATGAGTGCTGGCATCATTCTGAGCATGGAGATGCCTGAGAGCAAGAGATGATCCACGTTCAGTTGCTCAACACCCAGAGGTTAATTCAGCAAATTTAAAGCTTTAAATCTGCCAAAGTGCTGCCACTTTGACAGTGAGAGGGAAACAAAGGCAAAGGATTACACCTTCGGGATACAAAACAACAGAGAGGGGAAGCGAGGGAAGCAGAGACAGGCAGAAGAAGGAAAATGGATAATGATGTCTCGAGACTCTGCCCTGCTGCCAATGGGAGCCAAAACTGTTGCGCCATGCTACTTACTTCTCAATGAGGTCTAACGTCACTCCTGGCACCAACTTGGCACTCTTTTGCATACAGAACCTGAAAGACAGAGGGAATATGTTACCAATCACAGTTAAAGAGAACATAAAAGACGCTAGAAGATCAAATCTTTGGCCTCCATGGTGCAAATTTTATTTCTCACTTTAGAGTCAAAAAAATAAATCATCCAAATGAAAAACAAGAAATGCAAAGACTGTGTGCAGTAAGGACTGAGGGGTAGGAATATTCTGGCTGAGTTATAGTCGAGCAGAAGGGGACAGTCTGTGGGAAATACAGACTCTTATTTCAGAAATTTCTGTCAGGGGGCTTATTGTTTATTATGCCTGGTTAGGTCTGACAGGTCGGGCCAGCTGTAAGTCACAGCAGGCTGCTGTTCAGAGTCCTGACAGTTGCACGGATCGCCGGGAGTCATCACGCACCTGGAGGTAAGCAGGTGTGTGTGTGTGTGTGTGTGTGCTTTTTGCACCTATAGTGAGCAGAGAGCAGCTGCAGGGAAGACGATGATGGAAATAAATCCTAACAAATCATTACCATTTAAAACACAAACAGGACTTTAATAATTATTAGCTTAGCAGGCATTAATGGTAATGATACGCAAATAGTTTAAAAAGTTTCCATCGACTCACAACCAATAAAAACAGAGTAAAAACAACAATGCAAAGGCAAAAAATCTAAACTTTTTCTGATTAAAAACATTAATTCTAAAGAAAAAAAGGGACTTTTTATGCTCAAACCGAACCCAACTCTTACAGTCTAAGCTACAACTATAAAAGACTGTGCCAACACAACATATATTGGGAATGATCATCACAGAACAACTACTCATACACCTGGATGCAGGGTTTATACATACATGAGTAACTCTTATTTAATGCTTTAATGCTCTTAAAATATTCTTAATGCCATCCACAAGTAACCATGACTTATATATATATATATATATATATATATATATATATATATATGGCAAAAGCCTTCGTCATCTTCACCATGGACAGGCTGCAGCCATATCCTGAGTTCCTCGTTTTCCCGCCACTTTGGTTCAAATTTGCATTTTAATGCCACGATTATCAAATTTAATGAATTGTAATGTCAATTAAGGCCTTAATTTAAAAAATAAAAATGTAATGGCGTTTAATGACCCGTGGAAACCCTGTGGATGACATTATGCTCACTCTAGAACTTTCTCTGGTATATCGATATTAGGAAATTAGCTTGAAAAATGTGAATCCTATTGAAACATAACTTTATTTTAATATACATTCTTTCAGCTGGAAATTGATCCTCTCCCCAAAACTAGAGCCACTCTGCCAAAACGATGTAGAAATAAGTCAATACTTATTAAATTAAGTGTATTTACCCTTCATTTGAGAAGGTAAATAACATGATTTACCAATGGAATTAGTCATTTAGATATATGCACTTGAAATAAGACAATGCAATTGTTTTTCTTATTCTAAAAGTACATTGTCTTGTTCCATTGGCAAAGTAGCCAAGTGTCTCACTTAACTTGTCAATTTTAAGAAGAAATTACTTATTGAGATTTACATTTTTTCCAGCGTGATAGCGGCTGCAGAATACAGAAGAGAGGAGAATTTGTATCATAACGTGCCATGTAAACTCAATCCACCCGTGTGATTTAATAAATAAAACCAAATGGTGGAGAGCATTTCAATTGTAAGTTAAGCTTCAATGAATTTTGATTTACCTTTGAGCCCGTAAAGTCAAAGCTGTGTCTTAGTTTTATTGCCGACTCTTAGACTGATCCCTAAATATCAATGGCTCCCTCACGAGAATAAGTGGGCCTAGTTTATTCAGCAGCATGTGGAGCTGCCACCATCACACTTGGATGCACATCTGAACACCAAACTGACTCAAGTCAACCATTCGTAGCAAAATTTGTATCCAGGATCTAATCCAACCCGACTGGCTGTGACAGAGGCTGCTGTGATTTCATTTTCTCTTCCTGAAGAATGATCAGCTCTAACATGACACCAGCACGGTTTTCTGGCTCTTCAAAGATCAGCCAGAGTCGTGAGTGCACCTGACACTCATGAAGCGAAGAGCAGGAGCAATCTGATCAGCACAACTTGTACTAAGGCCTTTCTGGTCAGAAACTCCTTACTTCAAAGTCAAAACATGCAAAATCTGGTCTTATAAAAAATACCAGAGACCAGCTATATCAATTCCAATAAACATAAGCCATAAGCCAATAATCTTTTTGCCACAAAGATAACACAGCCCTATGATTAAGGGTTTTGTTTATGCCTTTTTTATGCTTCAGGGCAAAATGTAATCAATTAATCTCCAGACATAAACAGTGGATTATTAAGAATTTAGATGGGATGATAAATAGACAGGCTAAGTAAACATCAGAAAGGTAAAAGGTTAGTTTACATCAGGATGGGACTTTGATTCAGCCGTCTGTGGTGAGGGACCAGAACTGTTCAACAGGTGACAGGAGGGAATTAAACAGGAACCCCAGCATTGAAGGTCAGAAGCAATCGGGGACATTTTATCATTCATACCAACTATGATTATGATCCACAAGCTGACTTTATCCTTGCTTTGTGAAAAGCCGTGTTTGTGCTCTTTAAAGATCATTAACAAGCTCGGACATTCTGGGCAAACACTTTGATCAGACAAAAGTTATGCAGCTTAATTCCAACTAGTCAAAACTATAAAGACAACAAGGTTGAATGTGCTCAGCATATCGGAGGAAATGAAATAACCAAAAGCAAAATCTTTGAAGGCAAGAAACTGAAATTGACCATCTTTTAAAGTAGCTAAACTGAAGTTATCTTTAAACCAACTTCTGAGGTTGACAGAGTTATTTTTTCTTTTAAATTTAGTTTCTGTCACTTCAAATAATGTTTTATTCATCCGACTATAGCGTCTCCTAAAGCTATTAGAAATATATATGTGGTCTTTTTCATGTTTCTTCTGTTTTAAACAGCCAATGAGTATCAAATTTAGAAATCTGTTTTTTTTTTCAGCCTGTTCTTCTTAAAGAGTTAAGATACCCACCATGAAGAGAGAAAGAAAACATATAGTTGTACCTACATTGACTTAAAATAAAATCAGGCTCAGTCCAAACACCACAAATTGGAAAAGCAAATTGGAAGTTATGTCCAAATAGGTCTGGCAGTAAGAAAGGAGGTAGGAAGAGGAAGCAGGATGCTTCCAGTCATAGTTAATTTTGCATTGGGACCTCCAGACATTCTAATCTGGTGCTTAAGAACTAAAGGGTTTCCCCCACAATCCTTTACATGACTGGAGGTATGGGCACAGCCTTCCTCATCAGGTTTAACAAAGTTACATTCTTTCTCTTATGTAAACTCTAAGACTGCAAGGTTCAGACATTTAATCCATTTGTGTAACTTGTGTTGGAACATGCAGTTCTTTTTCAAAAGGCTCAAGTCCCTATTGAACTAGGATCAACCAAGTGTAATACTGTCTCATAATGACATCCGTAACGCAGAAGGCTGTCCGGATTCAGCAGAACAGTCTGAAGATCTCTTGATCATCAAGTGTTTTTACTGTCGACCCAAAGAAGTTAAAGGACAAGTCACAATTTGCCGTAATCGGACTGATGTTTCTCCTGTATGGGTGGTTCCATCCTCTGCATGGGATTTTTATTGCCAGGACAGTTAGAAAAACCCCAGCTGCTGATTGGTGAAAACGCACTAGTTTCAGTAGAAACAGATGGTTTAAACATGGTGACAAAAAACATTTATTACCGTTTGCAGTAAAACTGGGCAGCAAACACTCATTTCAAGTCAAAACAAAAGTCCATACTAAAACAAACAAAAACTTAACTGGCCAATACCCAAGAAAGAGGTGTTAAGCTTTCCTATGAACCACAGATTGGTATACCTATATAGAGAAGAACACATAAACATGAGCGGACTAAAGTACAGAAGGGCTGCCGGGTACATATAATGAGGAAATTGAAGGATTATTACACACAGAGAGCAAAGATGGTGGAACTTAATTTGGACTGGTGAAAAAAAGGCTGAGCAAACGCGTGGGCGATCAGTGCAGAGGGGAGAAAGTGAGCATGTACATATTAAACTTTGAAGAGGGAAATTAAGTGGACCCAATGTGAGGTAACTACGATGCTGCTCCCAGGGCGAGAGAAAGGAGAGGAAGAGTGGGAGGAACTAGTGTCTTCTCTGCTCCCTGCTGAGGTGGCCGGAGTCTACAGCTCATTACCCCTTCAATCAGCCTTCCTCTTCTTTTAGTGCTGCATGTACTGGGAGGACTGGCAAGCTGTTACAAGGCAAGTTACTGACCAACAATATAAAGCAGCATATTGGAAATGAAATTAATGTTGCGGAAAAGAATATAGCAAAAGGTTATTACAACCAAAACATTGAATTAAGAGAAGATGCTTAAGTAAAGAGGGCAAATTTAGGGGTATAGAGCTAAATAGAGGGAAATCCTGGAAGATAACCTGTTAAAAGGCTGCAAAACCCTCTAGACTAGGTTGGAGGTTTACTATCCAGCAGGACATTTACCTCACAGCTAAAGTAATAATAAATTCATTATGTCCACAAATATTTAGCATTAGTTTGGCCCACTCAAAGCTTAGACCCTTGTTCAATACAGGATGTGTGGGTTAAAATTAAAATGTCTTCACTCAACAAGTTTGAGAAGAAGCCATTTAAGCTGGATCCTAATGGGCAGATCTGTTAGAGACATACCCTAAAAAAAGACTGGTTCTACAAAGTACTGACTTTATCTTGCTGCACTACTAGTAATGGGGCATAGTCACGTTATACGCCTATACAAAAAAAGACCCGCCAAAGATTTAATCATGATAAAATAAAAATGGCGTACACCAAGCATCAGTCCTAATAGTGTTTAGACTGTATGTTTTGAGCCTAAACTGAATTCCGGCATTGGGTGGAAAAAAAACAAAAAGCAGACATAAACAGATCTAGCACCATCTGCTGGCAGACAGCTAGAATGAGACAAGGAATGCAGCTGCTTTGTGTCTGACGTCCTGCGATGTGTTAAGGTAAATTGAAAACTCA